TGGTGTATCTCCTTAGTTTGAAAACAAAGTGGGGCAGCTAGGTGGAGTAGTGAATAGAGCACTGGCCCTGGATTCAGGAGGACCCGAGTTCAAATCCTGCCTCAGACACATAACAATTACTAGCTCTGTGACCCTGGGCAAGTCACTTAACCCCATTGCCTAGCCAAAAAATTTTAAAAAAAAGGGGGGGGAAACAAAAAAGAAAACAAAGGCTAGTTTTAGGAAAGCCACCTGGACACCAGAATAGATCTTGGGAAACCAATTACTAGACCTGTATGGACCATAATTCAACTCACATTGCAAATACCAATTAACCACTAGCACACCTTCCATCCTTCTACCTCCAAGGTCTCAATTCAGTTCCATAAGCAGGAGGATGTGACTGGGATGACCATTATCAAATGAAGGTTGATCAAGATAAGCACGTGCTGCTGATTCTAATTTTGAAAGTCTGATATGACTAAATTAGCAATTAACAAGTATTTATTAAGCACCTACTCTGTGCCGGGTACTGTGCTAGGCACTAGGGTTATAATTACAAAGAATGAAATAATCTATCCTTAGCAAATACCTTGTGTCCTAATGGAGAAGATAACATATAAACAAATGTGTGCATGTGAAAACAAGCACACGTGTGTATCCATGTATTATATACACATATACATATAGCATAAAGTTTACAAATATACATAACTATATATCACAAATATAAAGCTAATAAATACAAATATACTAAATGTACAATAGTTTTAGAAGAGAGGGCACTGGCAGTAGAAAGGTATCAAAAATGGTTTCATGCACAAGATAAAGAAAGAGAGGGCCTCTATGCTGATAAAGTGGGGAGGAAGGGTACTTCCCAGGTACAATGCCAATGCAAAGACACAGAGTAAGGAAAAGAGAGAAGGCCAGCTTGGCTGAATCACAGATTATGGGAAAGGGGAAACCAATGAGGCTTGATATACTGGAGACAACTTGTGGAAGGCTTTAAAATCTTTAAAATCTAAACAGGTGATACCAAGATATGGGCAACCGATGAAAGTTCTGGTCAAAACAATGGGAAATAATCTAAGCAAAGAAGCCTAAAAGATGACTCAAAACTTAAATGCTGAATAGTTCCCACCAAATAGTTTGTCTTTTGCTTGCTCACTATGAACAATTTTGTTATAAATAATAACAAAATGACTTATTGGAAACTCCCCCACAAGATGGTATTATTCACCTTTGGCAACAAAGGTACTCAATGAACCCATCCAGGCCTATTCACAAATTATATTGTCTCCTGTGTGTGTGTGTGTGTGTGTGTAATATCCAATATAATGTATTAATAATAGCTAGACACAAACTTCCATCAGCAAAAATGTTGCACATTTTTCTGGTAACAAAAGTAATACCCTATTTGTAAAATATTTTAGAGTTTACAACATGCTTTGACATATATCATCCATCTAACATGCTTGCAACAACCTTATGGGATTAAGCAGGACAAAATCTCTATTTGGGATTTGGGCTTAGTCAGGCTGTCACTCAAGGTCACACAGTTATTAACTAGAATCTAGGTCTTTTGATTTGCCATTAATACATCACAACAGTTAAATGCTGCAAGGGTATTTCCCAGAATCATTTTTTCATTTGACTTCCATACTTTAAACTATATTATTAACAATATATTTATAATGCAGCAATAGTATTACAGATATGTCCTAGTTTGTTTTTTTCATTCTAAGAATCATAATTCATAGAATAAATCGGAGCAAGTTTAAGCTAGAAAAGAGTTTATCTAAGGAAAGACAGATAACTATATTCAAATACTTGAGAGTAAACTTATTCTATATATACAACAGAAAAAGACTGACGCTGGAGGAGAGAGTGAGGCCAACAACTTTTGCACCATCCTGCCTCACTTAAATCCAATCCACTCGAAAGTCAAGACATCACCCTTGTGATGTCATTGGTCCTCTTTGAGAACAAAGGATAAACAACAACAATATGACTAATGGGTGAAAGTTATGGGGACACAAGATTTTGGTTCAACTTAAGACTAAACTTTCTTAACTTGATTTGACCAAAAATGAAATGGGTCATTTCTGCCTTAGTTTCATAAGATCCTAGACCTACAGTTCAGAAGCCACCTGGCCCTCATTTACAAATGTGAAAACTGAGGCCTATGAAGTTACTGTGGCTTGTAGTTAGTCTCAGAGATGGGAGGTGAACCCAGGCACTGACTCCAAACCCAGTGCTCTATTCTATGGTACCACATTGCCTTATTAGAAAACAGACAGACAGTTCTTGGCCTCAAAAAGCTTATAGTTTAATGGTGAAGACAACACATAAAGGGAAACCACAAAGTGAGGCGGTAGAAAGGCACAGGAGGGAGAACTTTTCTGAGGATGGCAATGTGGCAATGAGAAGGAGGAGGAAAAGGATTCCAGAAAGACTATCTGCATGAAGTGAACCACTTCGAGGATGGTTCTGAGAAGGGATTCACCAATAGAAAAGACACACCACAAGGCCAAGGTTTCTCAAGTGGACAATATGGTTGGGGATGAGGAAGAGGAGAATTCTGGAAAGGGTCCAGGAGTGAGTAAAGTAAAAAATTGATATGGTCCTTCCTGAAGATAGTGTTAGGTTGTTGGTAGTGAATTCTCCATCACTGAAAGCATTTAGGCAAAGGCTAAATAGCTAGAAATAGTGATATGCCACTAAAAGAATCCATACAGTGAGGGGACATTAGATTAGATGATAATGATCTAAACTAAGGCTCCTTTCAACTGTGACACTGTATACCGATTTGAACTTCAAAAGGATTCTTATTTTGCAAAAAGATTTCCTACAAATTATTGGCCGGGGGTGGGTGGGTGGAGAGAGAGCTGTTTTTTAGAGAAGAGATTCTTCAGTGAAAGTACACCTTAAAGTTTGTTTATAGATCAAAAGGCCAAATAGGGATATAAAGTGAAAAGTTTTTGAATCTTCAAAGGGTCGCTTATCTAATGTGTAGAGCTTGTACAAGGCATATGTGTATCTGAAGAAAGGTTTGAAAATTATACCTGTCTGTCTCTACTGGAAGCTTCAAGATTTTTTAAAAAAATACTGATATCTGCTATCCACATCCAGAGAAAGAACTATGGAGTCTGAATGCTAATCAAAGCATACTATTTGCTTTCTCTGTTTTTTGTTTTGTTTCGTTTCTTCTTTCTCGAGGCTCCTCACACTCCTTCTAATTCTTCATTACAACATGACTAATGTGAAAATATGCTTAATAAGAATGTATATATAGAGCCTATATCAAATTGCACACTATCTTGGGGACGAGGGAGGGAAGGGAGGAGGAGAAAATTTAAAACTCAAAAGCTTATGGAAGTGAATGTTGAAAACTAAAAATACATTAATTAATTTAAAAAATATTGATGTCTTTTGTTTTTACATCACTTTCATTTCTAAAATATTCCTGCCTCCTCAATCCCATGATACATATGTTGTAATAAAGGATAAAAAAGGGGGTGGGGAAACAATTCAGCAAAACTAATCAAAACATCAACCATGTCTGACAATATATGCAATGTCCTATTACTGTAGGCTGCAGTGAAGGGAAAGGAGTCACATTTTCTAATCTCTTCTCCAAAGCCAAGTTTGGTCATAATACAATTACAGACCATTCCGTTTCTTTTTCTGTCTCATTCCATTTGGGTAGTAATCACAGAAGGCAGTATTTGAGCCCAAATCCCTTAACGTCACAGTCAGTGCCTTTCCAATATACCATTTTTATTCGTTCATATAAATCTTTCCATTCATCTCTACTTTCTAAATATTTATCACCACTTAAAAGAATGTAATGACTATTACATTCATATATTACAATTCATTTAGTCACTCCTCAGTCAATGGGCATCTACTTTAGTTTGAGGGGCAAGTAGGTGGCACAGTGGATAGAGTGCTGGACCAGGGGTCAGGAAGACCTCAGTTCAAATCCAGCCTCAGACACTTACTAGCTGTGTGACCCTGGGCAAGTAACTTAACCCTACCTATTTGCCCCAGTTTCCTCATCTGTAAAATGAGCTAGAGAAGGAAAAGGGAAACCACACCAGTATCTTTGCCAAGAAAACCCCAAATGGGATCACAAAGAGTTGGACACAATTGAAACTACCTAAACAACGACGACTTTGGTTTCAATTCTTTGCTCCCACAAAAAGTGCTGCTGTGAATATCTTGGTGTATTCAGGACCTTTCCATCTCTGACCTCCTTAGAGTACTATGCCTAGCAACAGGATCTTTGGGTCAGTGTATGAATATTTTAGCCACTTTTTTTTTCTCAGCACAATCCCAAATCGAATTCCAAAATGGACCAATTCACAGCTCCACTAGCAATGTCTTTATCTACTTATCTTTCTACAGCCCCTTAAATATTGAGCCTTTTTTTCATCTTTGCCAATTTGCTTAGGGTGAGGTAAAACCTTATTTGATTTGTTATTTGGTCTAGTATTTCTCTTATCATTAGTGATTGAAACAATCATTCAAATAGTTGTTAATATTTTGCAATTCTACTTTTGAGAACTGTTTGTTCAAATCCTTTGACCATTTACCTGCTGGAGATTGGTTCTTGGTCTTATTTTTATGTTAATTCCCTATAGAGACTTTACATTCATCATGTGATCTGATCTATCAAAAAATAATAAGCCATGGACTGAGATTATTTGGCAGGAAAAATCTGTGCATTTTTAGAGGTAATACGAGACTATAATCCTTTGTTGTGACTACACATTCCCTGAATTTTGCAATGCTGCCTACTTTTCCCACCCCCAGGACTTGGTTCTGCCAATGAAAATAGAAGATAAACATCTTTGAAATTAAAAGTACCAGGGAATGTAAACTACAATTTGGTTTATAAGATGTATCCTGTATACAACTTCCCAAGAGTCGTCAGGAGATATAAAACAAAGGGTGCCTCTTAATAAGAATATAAACAACAATGGTTAGCAACAATCCACAATCACCTTTTCTCCTACCTCATTCCTTCAGTGGATCTATTCTGGTAGTTCCGATACAGCTGTGGAACACCCAGCATGGCCTCTGTGAATACAGCAAGAAATCCCAGCGTTTCCACAAATAAAGCAGAATCAAGAGAGAGGTAAGTGATGTATCCAGTCACTCCCGTGAAAGTTAATACACACTGCACGTAGTCGGTGAACTTGCTCCAGTGCCAGAAGTAGTGCAAATCAAAATCTAACAACAGAAGGAGAGAATGAAGGAAACGTAAAACTTTTAAAGAAAATCTTTATCTGCTAGGTAATTGAGTTTGTTGGCAACATAAAATTCCAACGAGCAATTTCATTATATATTATACACACACATATTTTATTTTCTATTCAGTTGACAGGACAAATGGATTTTCATGGGGAAACCATGGTGGAAACATTACTCTTTCATATGCTATTAGCTGTCAAGTTCAATTCCTTTGGTCAGCTGTGTCAATTTCTTTAAGAAGTGGTGAAACCTTAAATATAAGGGATGTCAACATAAATCTTGTTCACAAGCATTTTCCAGGACTATGTTCTCTGTTCATTCTACTATGCTGTCTCTTTGAATGAGAACATCTGATCAAAGCTGACAATTAAGTGCCACCATAAGTTTTTTTTCTAAATTTAAATTACATTGAAACTTCTTAGCCTTTACATCGTTATCACTTCCTGATGACTATTAAACCCTCCCTCAAAACAAACAGGTACATTTCTTTTAAAAATCAAACCAACAAAACTGGTCATGTCTGATAACATATGCCTTATGCTGCAGTTATAGTCCATCCCCTACTCACCAAGAAAAAGGAAGCGTGTTTCACTGTCAGAACTCTAAAGTCAAGAATGGTCACTCTAGGGATCAGAATTCTAATGCACATCAATGCTACTTTCCTTTACACTATTATTGCTGTGCATTGTTTTCTTAGCTCCATCTACTTCACTCCACATGAATTCACAAATGACTCAATTAACAAACATTTGTTAAGTTCCTCTGATAAGTCAAGGTACTTCACTTAGTGCTGGAGATCCAAAAAACAAAGTGAAACAATGTGAAACAATCTTGCCCTTCAGGGGCACATTCTAAAGGGGAACACAACTTACACATATATTTATACACAAAACATTTACAAAGTAGCCTTGGGCAGGAAAAAGACTTTAAGCAGTAGGGAAGTCCCAGAAAAGACCTCCCAGAAGGTGGAACTTGAGGTGAATCTGGAATTAAATTAAGGATTCTAAGAAATGGAAGGGAGGAGAGAGTCCTTTTAGGTGATGAAGAGCAGGCAGCATGAAGGCACCAGAGGGAGAGATAAAGGTCTCACGTTAGGAACTTCAGGAAGGCCATGTGATCCTAGACATAACAGGAAGCTGCTGGAATTTTATCAAAGTGAAGAAGTATATGTGTGATATGGTGAGACCTGAACTTTAGGAAAAACAAAAATCCACCCAAGTTTCTCTGTATTCTTCCTATTTGTCTTAACTGATGTCAGAACAATATTCCATTAATTTATATACTATAATTTGTTCAGCCACTCTCCAATTGAAGGGCACCCACTTTGTTTCCAATTTTTTAATTTCCACAAAAAGAAATCTTTACACATAAGAAGTCTTTCCTTCTTTAATCTTCTTAGGGTACATGGGTCAAATGATATATACAGCACTACTGTAAATTAAATAAGAAATTAGAATAATAAATTGTGTTTGAGAATCTTGACTGTTATGCATTAGTACAGGTAGCAAAGAGAGACCAACTAAGAGATATTTGATGTGATCTCCCACAAGATAATGAGAGCTAGTAAGGATGGTAATGGTTATAGAAGTGAAGCATCACTGAAGATGAATGGGCAGGGCTTGGAGGATGACTAGAAAAAAAAGGATGAAGCAGGGGTGGGGGGGAAGTGTATTAAAATTTTTTAAAAATTAAGTCCAGGAGACTAGAAGGATCAATGTCATCACTGATGGCACCAGTCCTCAAATCCTGGCACTAGAATTCACTTTCAATGCTCATTACACATTACTCCCCTTCACATGTTCAGCATTCCTGCAAACCCATATGTCTTGCTATTCCTCACATATGACACCCCATCTCCCATCACCACCATGCCTTTTCAAGTGGGGACTATGCCTAAGGCCTCAACCACCTAATGAAACAAATATCTATTAAGTATTTATTATGACAGGCACAGTGCCAAATACTGCTTACATACTAACAGGGAAGATGCCTATGCCAAACTTGCACTCCACCAGTCAATGACAGAACTAGGAAAAGAACCACACCCACCAGTTAGCAAGGACTTGTTCAGTCTTTCATCTCTTAGCTCCTATTCTCCCACCGTAGGAGGCTAAAGGATATAGCAGTGATGTGTGTCTATGAGATAGATACAGAGCAGGTACAAGCTAACTTTAAAAAACAAAGTACTGGAAAAGGCCTCCCACAGAAGTGGTCATTTAAGCTGAATCTTAAAGGAAGCCTCTTATTCTGAGAGGTTAAGGTAAGGGGAAAGAATTCCAAGCATGGGGTGAAGACTCAGTACAAAGGCCCAGACACAGGAGATACAGCATTATGTATGAGGAATTACAAGCAGACCATTATGAACAGGCTGTAGAGTTCATGGAAACAAATAATGTGTAATAAGACTGGAAAAAGAAAGTAAGGGGGCATAATTCTCTTCAAAGCTCAGGTCTAGTGCTACCAACATGAGACCTTTCCTGATGCCTCTCAGATGCCAGCACCTCTCCTTCCCCAGAAATTACTTCAGCTATAATTAGACAGAGTACCCCAGAAGTCTTGGGGCAGGCTTAAGCTTGTTAAAGACTATGAACAATTTTTTTTTGTTTCTCACAACAGAATGCTAGCTGCTGCTGCTTTTTTTTTTTGCAAGGCAATGGGGTGAAGTGACTTGTTCAGGATCGCACAGTTAGTAAGTGTCAGGTGTCTGAGGCCACATTTGAACTCAGGTCTTCCTGAATCCAGGGCTGGTGCTCTATCCACTGAGCCATCTAGCTGCCCCCAGAATGCTAGCTTCTTGATGACAGAGACTACTTCACTTCTTCCTTAGTTTCTCTAGAGCTTGGCAGTAGTAGAAGCTTTATAAATGCTTGTTGATTGATGGATTTCTGTAGTAAAGACAGTACATTATTAAGTAATGAATCTTCAAAAGGCATTTCCCTTAGAGAAGTGAAAGAAAAACTTTTTAAAGTTTTTTTTAAAGTTTTGTGCTTGTTTGTTTTTGTTTTTGTTTTTTTACCTAAGATACACAGAAACTCAACAGAGGACTTGCCCAGAGTTACATTAAATCAATCAATGATGGGCCTAAGAACAGAATCATATTTGCCATCTACTTGTTTTGTCCTTCATTTCTGAGCTTCAGTACTCATAATGAAGGAAGGAAGGAAGGCTACAGGTTTCAGAAGTGATATATGTCAATCAGCCAATACACATTTATTAAATACTGGCATGAGAAATGGCATCCTCAGTATTGTTCCAAATGTAAACTAAACTCCTTCATAAGCACCATCAGTGCCTAATTTCCTCTTCAGAATGAATGGAAATTGAATAGGTACACATAAGAGTCTGCTACTAAGTAGATAATGTCATATTTACCACTAGTGTTTTCTTCCTGGACCATAATTTTGCCGGTGTCTATTCTAATGATTAAACTAGTAGTGTGTGTCATAGAAGCAGATTTTGCCAAGCAGTTTCAAACAAACCAATCATCCACTTTTACAAATGTTTCCAAAGGCACATACTGAAGGTTATAAACAACGCTAAAAGGACAATAAACAGGAATCACATACCTCCCTCCTGTCAAGATATCAGGAGACATTTGCAAGAGCTAAAGCCCAGCAAGCAAGCTGTGCCCTGAGCTTGGCATTACAACAATCCTTTGCACTCACTCTCTGGATGACTTAACCGTCTGGCAAAATCCCAGAATTGTTTCATATAATTATTGTATTGCTCTGACCAGCACCAGATGTTCTCTGAGCTCGGACAAGCATGGACATATACCCACGTTCCAGTCATGAAGTCCTGCTATGAATCAAACTTGTCTCACTGTTGCTATCACCCCTCACTGTCAGGGCTACAGCTCACTGCATAGCCATAGGTATAAATATTGAGATGTGCCCACACTAAACCAAGTCCCCCCCCCCTTAAGGGGGAAGCCCTGACACAAGTGTCCTTGCTTACAAGCCATTTCCCTCACTTTGAAATTAAACTTCTGTTTGATTCCTGACTCTCCCATCTCTAGCCTGCTCTGTTTGGCTCTGGCAACCCACAGGTTAGAGGCTAGTTCCATTCAGTTGACACTCCCATCAAGGTCTTTTGAACAAAATCAGCTATGCTGACACAAAAGTCACATCCTTCACCACAGCTGCTGAATGTGTTCTCTGTACAAGCTGTCTTTGTGACTGCAGAAGAACAGGGGTAAGGGATAAAAGGAAGTGATGAGAGAAGAGTAAACCTATTACAGGGTATAAGGCATGTCCTATCAGAAAAGTATACCAGACCATTCCTCCAGCCCACTCCTTCCCCACAATAAAATCAAATCTGGTAACTAGAAAGTTACGAGCTAAAATTTTTGTTTGTTTGTTTTTATTCAGGCTAGACTGGCAATACCATAACAGAAAGGTGAAAGACTGTCAGAACAATTCCATTAGTGTATACACTAAGATGGCAAGACAGATTTCCTGGCATACTTTTTCCATGCTCAGTCTGCCACAGAACCTGGCTGCATCAAGCCTTCAGAAAGGTTATCAACACTGAGAAACTAAAGCAAATTTCACCAAAATTGAAACAGCAAAACCACCCACAAAATCTGCCCCCATGTGATTAAGCTGATGTATAATACCTAATAAGTACAAAAGAAATTACTCAGACCACATTTTCTCTTTTTAAAAAAAAAGCTACCATTCTTTCCCAGGAAAGTCTGGAGTACAACAAAGAAAAATTAGCATTCTTTCCTACTTGCTTGGAAATAACTCATCCCAAGCAAAAAGGTTAATGGATAAGTGAGCTTATATGGATGCGAATGCTAAGGAGTAAGAGTTTGACAAAAGTTCATACTGTAAACAAATTTTACTTACTAGCTTTTAAATTTTTGTAACTTAAGAATTATGCTAATGATTTTCTTAAAAATAACAAATTCAAATAAGTAACTATATAGCTGCAGTTTCACTGTGGATGTAAGGATCTACAGAACAAGATCACTT